TAATACTGTTCTAGATGGGCATGTAGGTCAAGATTCATTGTCTTTGACTTATTTGATGCCAGATCATATGATGGATTCCTTTAAGAGGAAGCCTACAAATGGAACAATTATCCAAATATATATCCTTCACTAGTATGCATTTGGTAGACAGACATATTCCTAGTAGTAGTATAGTTATGAGCTTGTCTGCTGTTGTTATTAGGGAATAACTATTTAAACCATTGGTTTTCATTTATTTACTATTTACATAGTATGGTAAACTAAATGAAAATAAGAACGGTTATAACAGTGTACAAACATTTGTACACGGAAATGGTTGGAGCCCTACATGGAAGTGAGTGCGAGCAGTGACTGGGAATCAAGGCAATGGATAGCTTTGCCATGACTAGGACAGAGGTTGATGGGACAAAGCCTCAGCTGCCGCTTACCTGGGTTGCGGCCTTGCAACATCGCCGCTCTCCTTGTTTGGCTGAGAGCCGCCACCTGTCACACCAGAGCCGCTACCACCATGTGGAAGAGCCGATACCCGCTGCCTCATCGCCACTAACCAGTGCTGCTACCAAAAAGAAATCGGCAAAACACACTAACACTTCTGCCTGCCGCTGCTACCAGCCGCTACCCTGACTTTTTCTAAGACAAATGCTTGCCAACGCGGGCACTGTTCGAGCTGCACAGTGATGCATTCGGAGCAGCTCAGCGAACTCTATTGAATGGTGTATGAAGTGTACCATTATGTGCACTACTCGCAGAGATATTGTCTACAAAAAAACCAGGAGCACCTCCTCCTGCCGGTTTTGGCGAATTCTTTTGGCCCCAAAGTCCAGCCACTGGCGATTTCAGGACCTCTTCATGCATTTTCTGTGCCTCAGCATACCAGCCAAGACAATAATAAGTTGATGCAAGGCCAGATCTGGTCCAAATTGTGTCTGGATGGTTTGGCCCCAGCTGAACAATGCGCTGTTCAAGGACCTCTTCATGCATTTTCTGTGCCTCAGCATACCAGCCAAGACAATGATAAGTTGATGCAAGGCCAGATCTGGTCCAAATTGTGTCTGGATGGTTTGTCCCCAGCTGAACAATGCGCTGTTCAAGGACCTCTTCATGCATTTTCTGTGCCTCAACATACCAGCCAAGACCATAATAAGTTGATGCAAGGTTAGATCTGGTCCAAATAGTGTCTGGATGGTTTGGCCCCAGCTGAACAATGCGCTGTTCAAGGACCTCTTCATGCATTTTCTGTGCCTCAGCATACCTGCCAAGACAATGATAAGTTGATGCAAGGTCAGATCTGGTCCGAATAGTATCTGGATTGTTTGGCCCCAGCTGAACAATGCGTTGTTCAAGGACCTCTTCATGCATTTTCTGTGCCTCAGTATACCAGCCAAGACAATGATAAGTTGATGCAAGGCCAGATCTGGTCCGAATAGTGTCTGGATCGTTTGGCCCCAGCTGAACAATGCGCTGTTCAAGGACCTCTTCATGCATTTTCTGTGCCTCAACATACCAGCCAAGACCATAATAAGTTGATGCAAGGTTAGATCTGGTCCACATTGTGTCTGGATGGTTTGGCCCCAGCTGAACAATGCGCTGTTCAAGGACCTCTTCATGCATTTTCTGTGCCTCAGCATACCAGCCAAGACTATGATAAGTTGATGCCAGGCCAGATCTGGTCTGAATAGTGTCTGGATGGTTTGTCCCCAGCTGAACAATGCGCTGTTCAAGGACCTCTTCATGCATTTTCTGTGCCTCAGCATACCAGCCAAGACCATAATACGTTGATGCAAGGTTAGATCTGGTCCAAATAGTGTCTGGATGGTTTGGCCCCAGCTGAACAATGTGCTGTTCAAGGACCTGTTCATGAATCTTCTGTGCCTCAACATACCTGCCAAGACAATAATAAGTTGTGGCAAGGTCAGATCTGGTCCGAATAGTGTCTAGATGGTCTGGCCCCAGCTGAACAATGCGCTGTTTAAGGACATGTTCATGAATCTTCTGTGCCTCAACATACCTGCCAAGACCATGATAAGTTGTGGCAAGGTTAGATCTGGTCCTAATAGTGTCTGGATGATTTGGCCCCAGCTGAACAATGCACTGTTCAAGGACTTCTTCATGCATTTTCTGTGCCTCAGCATACCTGCCAAGACAATGATAAGTTGATGCAAGGTTTGATTTGGCCTGAAGTATGTGTTGAGGGTTTGGGTCCATATGCTGCTTCTTTCGTTGTCTCAGAATACTCTCACCCATAGCTGCTGCATCACTAAAGAAGCCAGCATCATAGTATATATTAAAACTTGTATTTTGCCATCGCCAAGGCAAATGTTCTGGCTTTGTGTTTGCTGCCTTGAAATGCTGTGCCAGTACTCCTATTTCATAAGGCACAGTGGTCTCTTCTGCTGACATTCCTAATAGATTGACAAGCATACTCTTACAATTCTCTGGCTGTGCTAGTGTTGTCCTAGTCCACTGATGCACTAATGGGTGAATATAATAGCCATCTTTTCTCAAGCCAATCAATGAATATGCTTCTATCTGTTTCATAGTTCCTTCAAACACAAGTTCATCCCACTTTTGTCCCTCATCTAAAAAATTGGACAAAAGCTGCATTGCCATGGCCAGAGGTTGTGGCATTTGTCCAGCTACCTCTAGGTCCTCCCATTCTGATTCATCCCATCTATATTTGGAGGCATTTTTGAATATTGATGCAGTAATTTGACTGTTATGCATAAAGGAACATGCTTGCATAAACTGCTGTGCATAAGATGGCAAATCCTCAAAGCTGACTCTCCAAGTAGTATAAACTGTGTCTTTATAGCTCCAGGCTACTTGTCTTGGTCTTTCTTGCCAGTACCTTTCCTTGTTCTTGTGATAAATGACAAGGTACTGCAATGGATCTTGGCGTAAGCTCTCATATTGTGATATGAATGCAGCTGCTTGGGCCAATGCCAGTGGGAAACAATATAGCTCCTATACATAACATTAACACCAAGATTTCATACTATTCACATTAATGTTCTTACCTTTGCAAGTTCTGCTGCTGCTTTCCTATTACTGATATGTGCAATGCCACATATAGTATCAATTGCTTCATCCAGGGACATATCAGACACATTGATAGACTTTTGGTTTGTATGTACACCTAACTCTGGATTCCGAGAGGTGATCAGAACATTGCCATGATGACACTTAGGAAGGTGCTCCCAAAGATTTAGCTCCACATTATCTGCATTATCAAACAGGATAAGCCATTCATTGGTGTTCACTGTGAGCCATGTTTGCGCTGCCACTGCTGTGTCTTCTTGATGTTTAATTCTAGCAATTTGCCTGTATCCTGCTTCAATAGTATTTGCACTGCTTGCATCAATCTTGAACTGATTTGTAAACCTGAGAAGTATGAGTATATGATATACAACCATGCCTCTGGAATCACACCTAGAGCCAGATTCTGAAATGAATTTGACTGCAGTTTGGGTCTTTCCTATCCCACCCAAACCATGTAGAAGCACAATCTTTGGACTTTGGAGGCTAGTCTCTCCAAAAGAGTCTCTCAGTTTTGCAAGAATATCTTGCCGACCTGTGAAGCTATCCACAGGACGGGGACATCCATGATATGGTTCTGCCAGACATGCAGTTCAGCTACATTATACACCAGTGGACTCACTGTCTTGATCCGGGCCTCTGCCTTAATCAGCTCTATCGCCCCTGGGCTTATCATCACTCACCTGGGTAGAGATCCATAGTAATTGTTATTGAAACTTCCCATAATAGCTGTCCCCCCACCAGTTCCCCCAATTCCACCTTGTTCTGTCCCATCCCCACCTCCTCCTCCATGCCCACCTAAACCATTCAATATGGCTTGCATGTCATTCACGAGCAAGTATACACACCACTAATATTAAGAACAAAATGCTGCTGGGGTGGGGTGTCCATCGGCAGAGAGCTCGAGGTCAAGCGCCAGCGGGTGGTGGTGGTATGCGGACAAGAGGCGCCGCAGTGCCTCATGCGCATCGCCTTCGCAGGCTGCTTTTCATGATTGACAGCAGAGAATGATAATTGATGAGACGGTTGCGATGATGAATGATAAGACCAAGAATACCCAACTGAATGAGGTCGCCGCGGCGATGCACAAGTCTGTTGATTTCTTCCCGTTGTATCGCGTGCATTCTGCGACACGATCCGACCTGTAAGTTCCGCACCTTCAACCTCTACGCCGCCGCAGGTGGCCGCCCCGCTTCATGTCTCGAATCACCCGCTTTGGCGCCGCGTCGCCCCACGATATGTCGGCCCTGGGATCTCGAATTCCCCGCCGGTGCGTCGGTGGCATGCACCTGTGAGGGCACGGCGCTAAGCACGCTGTCTTGAACCGGACAGCGGCCGGGCGCTAAGTAGTCGACAGTGGTAAGTATAACAGTGGTGTGTATTCTTTACGCCGGCGGGCACCAGCGATTTTGATGGCACGGCTGGCTTTTGCGCATGCATCGGGCCGGGGGGGATACCGCCGGGCCACGTCCGTTGGCGCGAGAGTACACCCGGTGGCAGCGATCGGACGGGGACGGCGGTGTCCGGCCCGGATATTCAGTAAGTATCAGTCTTGCTCGGGGCTGCTCCATGGGAGGAATAGTCAAGACCTGTAACTATTCATTTCAACTTACTATATATATCCTCATACTGATTGCATTCCTTCCCAAGACAAAGATGACCACGATTTCTGTTTTCCATCGTCATAAACAGGTTGATCCAGTTATTGTATGTTAATTCAGTTTAGTTTAGTTTGTCGTTGAAGCAACAAATGGCCCACAACAAAAAAAAAAAAAAAAGGTTCAGAAGTTCCCAGGAACTAGCATCTAATATATAATCTTGTTTAAGTTGGCAGTTGTATTTAGAGTCCAGACAATTGAAATCAATCAGGTGGGTAACAACAACAGGAAGAACAAGACAGAAAAGCTTGAATTGCAAACGCAGCAGCCGGTATCCAACTCACAGTACTACCCCCACACCATTCTCTACGCCGCCGGCAACACACGGAACACCTGTCCTCATCAGCCTCCCCTCCCTCCCTTCCACAAAAAAAACACGCACCTTACACACCCCGCTCTTCATATCCTCCAGCCGATAACTAACACTCTCCACGCTCCCCTGCCCGACGCCCACGCTCGCCTGGATCACCCTTACCTTGCTCTTCCTCCCTTCAAACTCGCTCACTATCCCGATCAGCGGCCCGCCCTCCGCGCCGACCGTCAGCGCGTACCCCTTGCCCACCCCGCCCAGCCCCTTGTGCCCCTTGAACCGCGCGTCCGCGAGCAGCACGACGTCCCCCGGCATGATCTCCGCGACGCGCCGCTGCACCGTGCCCCCCGCCTGCGCGTACACCAGCGCGCCGTACCCGCCACCACCCGGGCCGGGGGCCGGCGCCGCGGAGGGCACCTCCCGCAGCACAGCCGCCACGAACCCGGCATAGCTCCCGTCGCCCACGAGGCCGCGCCGGCCGCGCTCGAGCAGCCCCGCCGCCGCCTCGCACACGTGCACGCCCACGCGGCCCCATATGGCGACCAGCTCCTCCGGCGTGTACTCCCGGTCCTTTGCTGGGATGTTGGGCGCGCCCTCGGGCTTCTGCTGACTCGAGCGCGGTCTTGGTGGGGTGGCCGCAGCAGCGACAGTCGCCTCAACGGTGCTCCCAAAGGTGGTATCGATCCCGCCCCCGAAGTCGAGCGTCCCCGACATCGACATGCTCGGCAGCTCCCAGCTCTCTGCATCCGACGTCTCCGGCGCGGGTGCGGGCGTCGCCGGTACGCTCCGCGGCGGCGGCACCCGACTCGTGGGCCTCGCAGGCGGCGGCGGGGCCTCGTCCATCTGCTCCACCTCCGGATCCGCGTCCACCATGACGAACTCTTGCGCGGGCGTCGGCGGCATCGGCGGAGGTGCGCGTGACGCCCGTCTGCTCGCGCTCGACGCCGTTGTATCCGTCGACGACTTGCGCGACGCCGACGCGCTTCCCGACATCTGCGTGCTCGCGCGCCGGTTCGGGGGCAGCCCGCTCGGGATCGGCGGGCGGCCCGCGGGGACCGGGCCCGGGGGACTGGCCTGTGGCGCCGGCGCGGGGATCGGGACGGGGATCGACTGGCGCTGATGCGGCCCGCGCTTGGGCACCGGCGGCGGCGCCTCTTCTTCCTGGGCCTCGTCGTATCCGATCCCCTCCCTCTCGCTTTCCTCCGCCTCGACCCTCCCCCCGTCCTCCTCCTCCCCGTCCTCCCTCTGCTCTTCGCGCAACACGTGCGACCGCTGCGCCGGCAGCCCCATCCCGGGCACCATCCCGATCCGGAGCCCGCCCATCCCCGCCAGTTTCGCTGTGATCCGTGCCTTCCTTGCTTTTTCCTCCTCTTCCTCATCAATCTCGCCCCTCTCTGCCTCCTGTTGCTCATCTTCATCTTGCGAGGGCCGACTACGCGGTGCGGGCACTGGAATGGGCGCCGCGCCGAACCGGATCCCGCCGAGCTTCGCCATGCGCTCCGCGATCGTCCGGCGCCTTGCCGCCTCGCTCTCGGCCTCCTCGTCAGCTGTACTCTGCAAAACGTCGGCAGGCGGCGACCCCGCCTCCCCCCGCGCCGCACCCGCAATGTCCACCATCGACCCGCGCCGGCTCGGGCTGTGGAACGCGGGATCAATTGGATCTGGGGGAAAAGTTATCAGGAAAAAGTAAACGAAGAAAAGAAACCACTCACCACCCTCCTCCTCATCAAGCACCTCCTCTCTCGCGCTCGGCACGCTCACAACACTCCCCCTTTTCATCCCCACATCCATCGTCGCAGACACCGGCGACAGCAGCCCCTCCGCATACACCTCCCGTGCTCTCCCTCCCGCAGTGTTGATCGCCCCCGGTCTTGGGTGCGGGGCCGGAATGGGCACGGGCGGGGCAGCAGCGGGCGGGGACGACGGCGCCGATTCAAACTCGCCCTCCTCGTACTCCTCTTCCTCCTGTTCAGAGTCGTACTCTTGTTCCGGCGGAGGCGGCGGGACGGACCGGCGCGCCGGCGGACTCGGACTCCCAGCTGCTGCTGGTACCGGCGGTGAAACGACGTGCCGGCCCTTGGGCAGCGGCGGGGGCACCGCAACAACCTCCTCCTCCTCCTCCTCTGCATACTGCTCCTCCTCCTGCTGGAGCTGGACCGGCGGCGCCATCGACACCGGCCGCGTCCCCCTCGGCGGCGGCGGCGGCGGGATCACCACCTCTTCCTCCTCATCCCAGTCCTGCTCTTCCTTCTCCTCGTCACTCCCGTCAACTTCCCTCAAAATCGGCGGAGCCGGCGCCATCGGGACCGGGGCCGACGCGGGCGGGGTCGGGACAGCCCGTGGCGGCGGCGGGATCGACCTCCTGTGCTCCCCGACCGGGCGCGGCGGGGGCGGTGGCGCGGGGAGCTCTTCTCCTTCCTCCTCCTCCGCCTCCTCTTCTCCTTCGTCCGCCGCGAGCTGCACCGGAACCGGCGGGCCGATCGGCGGCGGCGGCGGCGCTACGAACCTCGGCGGCGGCGGCGGGGGCACCGCGACCTCTTCTTCCTCCAGGTCGCCGTCACCGTCGTCCTCGTTGCGGTCGAGCCTTGGGTCCTCCGCGCCCGTCATCCCCAACTCCGGCCGGCGGCCGTGCGGCACGGGCGGCGGCGGCGCTTCCTCTTCTTGATCATGATCTGGAACGTCTTCCTGATCGTCCTCGCGGTCGATGTCTTCCTCGCGCACGAGCCGCCGCACGGGCTGATGTTGATGCGCGTGCACGTGGTCGTTGTCTTGAGCTTCGGAATCGGCGCCCGGATCTAAGCAAAGACATGAATAACGCGCTTTTTTACACAGAGTCGTGGGAAAGGAAGGGAAAAAGGAAATCAACATTCACCGCTATCACCCTTCTCTTCCCCTTCAGCCGGCGGGCTGCCCACCATTGCCGCCGCCGCGAACGGGTTCCGCCCGCCCATCGCCGCCATCCGCGCGCGCACGCGCTCCCGCCTTGCCTCCTCCTCATCTTCGGCATCTCTTCCTTCATCTGTAGTCTCAGCCGGTGTTTCGTCTTCAGCTTGAACAGCAGCGGGAGCCTCGGCCGAGTCTCGTCTCGCGATCTGCGCCGCGAACGGGTTCACCCCGCCCATACGCGCCATGCGCTCCATCACGCGCCGCTTGCGCGCCGCCTCCTCGTCTTCCTCGCTTTGTTCTTCTTCTTGTAATTGAGCGGGCTCTTCGGCAATCGCTTGGGGTTCCTCGTGCAGCGCGGGCTCTTCGGAGTGGGATTCTTTGACCTGTTCTTCGTCTTGATCGACCTCGACCTCAGCTGGGACGGATTCTTGGCGGGGAGACAGGCCCGGCGGCGGTGGGGGTGGGACGGCGCGGACCGGCTCAGGCTCGGGCTCATGTACAACCGCCTCCTCTGCTTTCCTTTCGTCTGCGGTTTTTTCCATCTCGTCCTCTTCATCACGCGCCGCACTTGTGATATCATCCTCCTCCTCCTCGTCCGAACCCGCCTCCCTCGCCAGTGGACTCCGAACCGGAATCTGGACAGGGACCGCAGCTCGCGCGGACCCCTTGCGCGTCAGCGGCGTCCCCACGACGTCCTGTTCTTGCGGCTGCTCCTCGCTTTCTTCCTCCGGCTCGACAGCAGCGGGCTGCGCGATAGTCTCCACAACTACCACCTCCTTTTGGCCTTCCTCTACAGCTGTTTCTTTTTGTGTCGCTGGTACTGGAACTGGTGCTGCTGCGGGTTCATCCACCGGCAGCAGCGCATCTTCCATCGCCTCCTCGACCGGCACAGCAACTGGCTCGGGCTCGTGCTCGTGCTCGGGCTCGGGCACCGGGGACGGCGCGCGCTTCTTTCTTGGCGGCGCCGCCCGACGCGGGGCCGCGGGCATCGGCATCGCGGGCGGGGAGGGCGAGTGCGCGGGCGATGGGGTCTGCGCCGGTGCTGGAGCGGGAGCGGGAGCGGGAGCGGGGATAGGAGAGGCGGTGGGGTCTTCTGGTTTAGCTAGCAACACTGAGTGTTTGGGAAGACAAGTGGATGATAACGCACTTTCTTCTTTCTCCGCCTCCAACACGCTCGCCGGCTCTTCTACTGCATCGATGGACGGTGTTTTGGTTGGGATAGCGGGTGAACTTGCGGGCGATTCCGTCGCCACCGCTGCTGGAACCGTCGCCGGTATCGCAGGCGAGGCTACCACCACGTCAGCACCCCTTCACACTCAGCAGAAAACACACACCTGACGCCGACTTGTCTCCCTGCGCCTCCTCGCCCGTGCTCGAGCGTTTCGGCGGCGGCTTGGGCTTCGCGCCGAACACGGGCGGGCCCATGCCCACGCGCGCGCCGCCAAGCCGGGCCATGCGCGCGGCGAGCGCGGCGCGGCGCTGGCGCTCCTCCTCCTCGGGGTCGACCGCTGCGTCGGCGCCGGGCTTCTCGGCGTCGTCAGATGCGGCTGGCTCTTGGGTGTCGGGGGGGAGCGGTGTCTGCAGGGGTCGCGATCGATGCGATGGGATCAGGGGAAGAGGGGGGCTCACCTCCAGCAGGCGCAGGGTCCTCCCGGGCTACAGATCGGTCAGCCATCGCCCATCGCGCCAAACAGCGACTCACCGCTATCCTCGCTCCCTCTCTTCACTGGCATCCCCATCGCCATCGCCATCGCCACCTCCTCGCTCTCGCCCTCCTGCACGACCGGCTTCGGCGGGGGCACCCACTTCCTCCCCGTGCCCACCACCTTTGGCTCCGGCGCCGGCGCCCCGCCAAACGCGCCCTGCCCCCGTAACGCCGCCATGCGCTCCTTAAGACTGCCCCCCGCGCGCCCGACCGCCTCCTGCGCGTCGTGGGCGCTCATCCCGCCCTTCCCCGCTCCTCTTCCCTCTCCTCCTTCTTTGCCGTCCTCGCTAAGATTGGCCTCGCCAGACGGACTGGGCGCCCGTGGCTTCCACGCCACCGTCCCCGGCTTCGGACGCAGCGGCGGGGCGGGCTTGTCGCTGCTGCTCGCAGGCTTCTCGAAGGCGGCGATGCGGTCGCGCAGCGAGCCCGGCTTCGGCTTCGTCGCTGGGGGTGGGGGGTCCGCCATCCTTTCTTTCTTACTCGGTATGTGCTGGTTGGTGTGGATGGAATGGAATGGGCTGCTGGGTCGTCGTCGTCGTCGCTGCTCAGGGCCGCGTGGTGCGTGACGTGATGAGTGACGTGATGTCATGCGTGACGAGGAAGGGTGACAGTGACTGATGGGCTGATTAGGCGGGACGGGACGGGATCGGATCGCGGCGAGCGCGTACCTACGACTCGCTGAACAGAACAGCGCACATGATGGGCATGCGCGGTCGCCGTATCCACCCCCGGCTTGAACAAAGAAACAGACACAGTAAAAAAAAAGTTCAGGAATTCCGAATTGCTTGATTACCCAGTGCCGTGCGCGGGGTCGAACCCGTGCCTGCTGGAGGAGGCGGGCCTAGCTGGCCGGCGGGACCGGCTGCGCCCCTGCGACCTGGCAGCGTCAATGCGAATATGAGTCATATACAGGACACACCGCTGCGTTGCATGTGTTGCTGCAAACCCGAAAAGCCGGAGCCGGAACCCCTCGACCGCTGTGCGCAGCACGTGAACACTGAAATCTCCGCACAACGGCGCGGGAAAAAGGACGAAAGGCGCGTTACGCTATAAATACACGCAGCGGGGATCGAACCCACGCCGCCGGCCCGAGTCGGAGCGTCATATCCCCAGCAGCATGCGTACATGGCTGCCTTAGTGACTATTTTACCCCCACAAACGTGCACCGCCGACCGCGATGCCACGTTCATGGCGCCAATGGTATCAAAAAGAGGACAGTTAGAACAATTCCGCCATAAGCACCCTGGGAATTGAACCCCGGCCGCCGCAATTGCTGGCCTGAACAGCCGGGGATCCACTCGGAGGCGTCTAGTTGCGGCCTCCGACAGGAACACGTTAACATTACCATCACTTGACACTGCAGAGTGAAAAAGAACGAGGAGTGATTGGTAAGTAAAAAATGCTGCTAAACTATAAACATGCTCAGGAGACTGGCTGTCCAATTGCAGACTGTTTCCTGGAGCATTGAGAGAAAGTGATATGAATATTCAGCCGGATCAATGGACCGAAAAGCCTGCCAAGCTATCAACGGCTACTATGCAACCGAGTCAATTCTATGCAGATCTATCAACATCTACCCTACTTCTGATGATTGCTACTGAGGCTACTGCGGCTACAGAGTCTCCAGTGCAATAACAGCTTGCCAGGTAGCAAAAACCATTTTCCTGATGCGTGGGGTCGAACCCGCGCACGGCGGGATCTGGCTAGCGGAGTAGCTGATGGGCTGATTACGCGCCTGGAGCGGCGTCTGGACACCCTGGCACGTTGCCACAGGGGAACTTGCACCCCGGGCGCAAAATATCATAGACAGGACACTCGCCCGCATCGACACAAAAAGGCGGAATCCCTGGACTGGACCGCTATGCGAGCGTGTGAAATCTCCCACGCCATCAAGAGAGAGAGAAAGAGAGACAAGGGGGTATCAGAAAAAAAATAACGGAACATACGTTGGACTTTTTGTTTAAGCCCTTCCAGGGGACCCACCGACCGTGACTGTGACGTGACATTACCATATTAGGAAGGTAATTCACACAGTCATGTGATCTGATAGCATCAAACTCAGTCAGTCCTCTGAATTTCCAAGAACATTAATAGAAACATAGACTTCTAGCTATATATATATCTTGCAGACAAAGTCCTGATATAGTCATTGGCTTACAAATCTCACTCCAGAGTACAGATATCCATCCCCATATGGTCTGATTTGTCACAATGTTCCATCTGATGATGAGATACTGAAAAATAACCACTTGTGAGATTGTTGATACTTAATGATGGATGTATAGTGCACCAAACAGTACTTGTAACCCATCCTAAGCGGGTCATAAGTTATATCGGAGTGGTGCGTTCACCATTTGTTAGCCTTAGTGCTGGCCAGAATTATATTATGCTTGATTAAATATTGAATATATTCAGAATATTATGAATATATTATGCACTTTGTGGATCACTTGAATATGATTATGTTTGAATATATTATATTATATTATGACTATACTATATTATAGTTGCAGAATATTCAACTATAGTAAGGTAGATGATTACAGCTATTTTCTCAGTCTATGTACTCAGTCATAGTACTAATCTTAGTCTGAGTAAGCCCTACTTCTGATAAATGTCACATATTATCTATTATATATGGTGATTCATACATTACCCTTAGTAGGAACAAATGTCAGGAGTGATCACTTTGGGTTGACCTATTAAACATAGTGTAGGACCTCTGATCAAGTATCTACTGGCTAACCTAAGACTAGTGACAATGCCCCTGATTGTATTTTGAGAGTCCTATGTAACCCAGGGAGGCCCAAAAGGAAGTTGCACTGACAATCCAGCATGTATTTTATGTTTTTGATTCCTTTTTCTAACAGCAAATATGTCAAACATATCAAGAGATATGCATACTAGATTATAGTTGAATATATTCATAACATATTCATATTTCACAGCTGAATATGATTATATTATACTACAAATATATTATTGGGTTGGAGCTCTGAATATGATATGATTATAATATATTATGCCCATAAAATAATATAATTATATTTGGCCAGCACTAAATGCAACGCCGAATAAGTACCGTGCGCGGGGTCGAACCCGCGCACAGCTGGTGGCTGGCGGAGGCTGGTTGGACGCCGGCGCGTTACCGCGGGCGTTGCTCGCGCTGCAGCGGCCTGCGAGTCGCGACGGCAACCACCGCACCCGCGAGAACGCGCATATATATGTGCTCTCCACAAGTTACGGTCCTGCACAGCCAAGATGACGGCCGCCGGCCGGCCGGTCGGTATGGGGATAAAAGTACTTACCCCCGGGCCGCCCGCGGCATGCATGCCAAAAAACCGGACAGGGCGGCAACTGGCATCGAAGACGAAAAACACTAGGTGCAAAAAACCTACTCCGATGGTTCCCATCAACACAGACACCACACGCGCCGGAGTCGTACGCAGCGCGGACCGGACGGCGAGAGCGTGGGCAGTAAACGCGAAAGTCACATCGCGTTGCCCCAGGGACTCGCCGCTCGCGAGGTTAGCACGACGGAACGACCCGGAAGGGAGTTACATTGCCGCAATTGAACCTGCTGGTGCATAGGCGCTGGCAGGCCCCGACACTGTATCCGGCGAACAGTTCTGGACGCACTGGGTCCGTGTCTGTTATCCGATTCGACCGCGGGACGACGTGATGTGCTGTGATGAATACACAGGATGTGCCGGTGATATGGTAGTGAAGGATACAGCCATCATTCAGTGAGCTGTACGGCTGCATATGGCCTGTCCTTCGGCCCGGGACTCATTCCTGTCAGATCTATCACAATCAGCATCAGAAGGCAATGCTCATACTTATATATATATATATATATATATATATATATTACGACGACACACCGCAGGCTTCGCTCTTGACATACCACCCCGTTCACTCCCACTATTGACTAGCTCTGAAAATGGACTTTGCGCCACAACACACTTCTATCCACATTAGTGGTAAGCATATTAGCTTGTTAAATCACAATATATATGCACAATGACAAATGATAGGTGGCCAGGGAGGTGGCGGAGGGAATGGAATAGAACAAGGTGGAATGGGGGGGAGCTGGAGGAGGGCCAGTGATCACTGGTAGTTTCAATACCCATTATCACACATCCCCAGCTGGGTGAGTTTTAAATGTCAATTAATGAACTTTGCTCATAATTATCAAAAGAAAAAACCTTGGCCTGGACAGTAAGTCTGATGAATCAAAATATATTGGTACTTGAGCATGTCTGGCAGAACCATACCATGGCTGTTCCCGTCCTGTGGATAGCTTCACTGGCCGCCAAGATATCCTTGCAAAACTCAAACAATTCTTTGGAGAGACAAGCCTCCAAAGTCCAAAGGTTGTGCTTCTGCATGGTTTGGGTGGGATAGGGAAGACTCAGAGTGCACTCAAATTTATTGCAGAATCCGGCTCAAGGTATGATTCTATGTGTAAGGGCAACCCCGGAGGCCTGAGATCAAGGTCCTGGCAGGGGAGGATCCAAAGAGTGAATAAGGGTAGACGAATACAAACAAGGCTGACCTGGCAGGGGAGGATCCAAAGAGAAGAAACTCTGAGGGTCCACCTGCCAGGTAGCCAACTATATACCGCGCTCTTGATGCGCCAAGAATGATCGTTGCTCCATGCAATATGCCCGCGCCATGTCGCATGCCAGGTCCCAGGAGGATCTTCCTGCAGATCCTGATGCATTACCTACGTTGATTCCTATCGGTGGACAAAACGACGGTCGCTTGGGCATCACGTAGGTAATTGATGGACAGGTGTCTGATGCCGAGATGCGATGGACAGATGCCAAGGTGGGGGTTCCCCTGACATCACCCCCCCCTTTGAATGCGGCGTCTCGACGCATAGACCGGAACGGAATCGAGTCGAAGGTCGCGGAGGCGATGTGTCGTGGCTTGCCAGGGTACTTATGATAGAACTCCGCAATTTTCTCCGGGGCGAAGACACGGTCGAAGCGGACCCACTGGTCGTGGCGATGCGTCGTAGCCTTTCCATCTGACGAAGTAGTTCAGCCGTTTATACCTCACCCTTGCGTCCAAGATTTCCTCTACTTCCCACTCCGGGACTCCGTCCTCGAGGTCCGGAGGGGGCTGGTCGTAGCCGGGGCGTCCATCGAAGGGGTCATCCTGGGCGAGCTCGAGCTTGACAACGGGGAAGACCGGGTGGAGCTTCGAGTACCGCGGAGGGAGGTCGAGCTTGTAGGCACCTTTGCTGATCTCCGCGACTATCTTGAACGGTCCAAGGCGGCGATGGGAGAACTTTTCCGAGGGGCGAGTCGTCCTGATGTCAGAGGCATCCAGCCAAACACGGTCGCCAACCTTAAACTCCGGAGACGGAGTCCGTCTCCGGTCGTAGTAGCGCTTGTACTCCTCTTTGGCCTTAGTGAGCGCGGCCTTGGCTTCAGCAACACCAGTGGCGATCCGGTC